CAATATAATTAGTGGTTATTATATTGCAGGTAATCTTTTCAGACGAGTTCATATTTTCTGTGTTCAAAACAAATGGCCAGTACGTGAGAATGACCATTGATGAGGCCTTTTTTCCGAAATGAATCAGTGTCACATATCCAATTTCAGTTAAAGTATAGAGTTGCAAGTCAGTTCATGGATGTGACAGATTACACTATTGAGGGCATAATGGAGCAGAATCGGTACAAAATGGTCCTTCAAACCCGCCTGCTGCCTCAGATCAGAGATTGGTTTCCTAAAAAAGGTAGCATTTTTATGCACAACAGAGCTCCATGCCATTAGACCAAGTCTGTTAATAAATTCTTGGGAGAAAATATCTTGGTTTGGACTGTTAATAGCACAAACTGCAAGCCAATTGAAATTCTATGAGAAATTGTAAAGCATACAATTTCTCATAGATTAAAAGCAATAGAATAAAACAAAAACAACCAGAATTGGTATCATTGGAAACATCATAGACATATAGTTTCGTGATGAACAAATTTAGAAAATTTGCAAAGACTTTGTGGAATGAATGGAATAGAGGAGTGAAGTGGTTATAAAGAACGAGCGAAAGTACGCCAAACACTAAAGATGTCATTGTGTATTGCTTAATTGTAATAATTATATTTTTAAAGAAAATAACTGTTAGTTTTTCATTTATTCTAATTATTTGCACACGTCTGTATCTACCCAGATATGTTTGAATTCATTAGTTCTCAAATATCTAATATATACATTTTGAATTAGTAAGATATATAGAATAATTTAGTGGAAATCTTTGTATTGCCAGGAATAGAAATATTCTTCCATTTACAGTAAGTGCTTGCTTCTAACCGACAAACCAATATGAGCAAACAATATCTTTCTCTTGGTGAAGTACCCACTCTTTAGATATATACCTTCGTAGGTTTGAAATGGGGTTATCTTGGATATTAGTGACGGGTACTTTAAGTGACAGTACGATGATCGATAAAATTCTGATAAAGATGTTGACTTCACAAAGAAAACCACAAAACAATAGAGGTATTTATCTAATGAAATATAGATATTATTAAAATGTTACTAGAGTGATATATGCGGTGAACATCAGACAATATGCTAGTGTGGAGAGCACAACTTGGAGATTTTGTGGATGATAAATTACGGATACTTTTATTCCTCTGGGTTTAACTCGTCATTATAAGATTCTACCTTGAGGTTTTCTTGGTAAAGACTATCCAAATACAACACTCGTATACGACAAAATTTTCAGTCGAACGAAGTCGTACGAAGTCATTACGAAGGTCATGTAGTGTTTTAAATGCAATCATATGCTTCGGGGGCCAGTCACGCGAAGTTACTTTTGGCTGCCCGAGTGATGTCGCATGGGGGGCAGTGATTTACACCGAAGAAGACCACGATATATCGGCATCACTGCCCTCGACGTGGCGTTACCCGGCCAGACGAGAACCTTGACATAGGGAATTGCTTGATCACCATTTTTGAGAAATTGCCCACCCGATGTGTTCGCCCAGGGAAACAACTGTTGCCACTGCAGTGACTCTGATTGGTAGATCCTAACGTTCGATACTATAAATATCTGAAAGGATATTGGAGACTAGCTGAATGTCTCCTCTGAATGAAGAATTATAGCGGCCGGCTGCTCTAATAGACATAATTTTCTCTGCTTTGCCCGATCAATCCAAGCGAATGCTGGAACGGTACTCTAACAATCGGGCCATGGACCGCATAGGATCATTCCTTCTCATCTTTGTCATCAACTCCTCTTTAAAGCACCTCACATACCACACTTAATGCTTCACACGTGTCGGGTGGCAGTGACCACAAGGGGGAGACACCTAGAGTAGAAAGCCTGTAAACAAAAATTTTGGCCTGGGCCTGGTATCTCGTTCTAGCGAGATAGGAACACCGCCAACTCCTGAGTTAATGTGCATAACACGTAGGGGACTAATGATCATAGTTGTTGACGCGCCCAAAATCAATCAATCATTTAATGGGTTATTTTATTAACAAATTGCCAATACTTGGTTACCTAATAGAAATCAGTTAAGAGTAGATTAAAACGTCTAGCAATAATTTGGATTTATATAGTCTGAGGTAATTTGGTTTGATCTGATCTGATCCAAATGTGAAACGCAGTTCATGGGATGAATATGAAAATAATGCGGATTTTTATTGAAAGTTTCTCATCTAAATGTTGCAATGAAGATCAAATTATTACAACAATAACTAACTAATGGATATGGAGAACTGTATAAAATCTGTCTTATTTTATTTATATTCTTCAAAATGTAATTAATGAATATTAAATACAAGAACGGTTTTTTAGCTGTCCAACACAAGTGTATTGCTAGTTATAAGACAACTTCTCCGTATGCTCAGTTTTTCCGATCGCTTAGAGAGGAAAGGATTTAACCAAGAATGATTAAGTATGATCATTTTACTGGATCAGGCGCACTTTGAACAAACTGCGAGACCAGTTCAAAACATCTGTCTGAAACACAGTCTAAATTCCCCCATCCATACTTTCTTCAGCGTGGAAATGAGCTCATTGCTTCTAGAGCTTAGATAAAAACCTACGTGTAACAATTTTTTCTCTAGTAAATTTATTTCCAGCTGAATATCTTCCCTTATGTGGATTAGTTTTTCAACTTAGATAAAAGTTGGGAACTAGTGAACAACTGCCTAAATCATTCTTATTGAAAATGAAGATGACACAAAGCAAAATCGAATGGTATACATTTAGATATTCATACTTCCACTGTTTAAAAATTTGGATGTTATGCTTTTACCTTCCACGTTTAACTCTTCAGCGCAGAAAAGTATTCAGATGACTCGTGATATAAAATTCAATTTGCTGGTCACAGTATTACACCATTTTTCCTTAGTAGCCGAATGAAAAAGGCCGCTGGCCACGAGCGTTGCGATGACATGCGTGAAGTAACGCGCGTCAACGCAGCCTTCGTGTGTCACAGGCCTCAGCGGATGTCTGTGCTATGTGCTACCGCGCTGACGCTCAGAACCACCGTTTCCCTCATCCGCATTCGAATGCTATCGCAATCAAGATCTCGCATCTTCGCTGAACGTTCAATCCTGTTTTATCGTGGACGAACGTATCTCGATTGCATCCCAGGTGCACCTTTTCCTAATCCTTTTATCTACTTCCTCAAAAAGGCACAGGCCGATTGCATTCCGTTTGGTTTCCCATGTGTGTACAAGAAAGAGCTCGCCCAGGTATCGGTGCTTCAAAGATCGCACTTTCCCTTTCATATTTCAAGAACATAAACGAGAAAGCTTTTAACGTTGTTTATTTTGTTTTACTTTGTATTCTAATTGTCAAATAGAGCAACGAAAGACATTGGGATTTAACTACATTGAATATTCTTAATTTATTGAAACTATGAATACCGTTGGGTGCTCCAAAGAAGAGGGAAAAGGGTGATGGGGATTACGGTCTGCTCTTAAAACACGAAGAAATTAAATAATTATATTTTAGTTAGATAACATACAGAGCTTTGAAGATTCTGCCACGTTCACCTGTGTGACAGAATTTTCTCTCGACTGGTGCGAAATTCAACTGCAAATTTGCTAACTCCAAAATTGCTTCCTTTCTCGTTCCAAAGTATTGGTGCCAAGGGCTATGCCTTCTTAGGTAGCCAAACGTGAAAGGGGACTAACTAAAAGTGGGCGTGATGGACATCGGGATGCAATCGGAAGATTCCCATCATAGACTGGTAGACGAACTGGTTAATTCATACAATATTAAATAAACTAGAGGTGTACCGACTGTCTCGCATTAATTGGTTTTCTAATCACTATAGTTAGGGTAGGTTTTCGCCCTGCCCACTCTTATCCATAGATGCTACTTATCGGCAATTAAAATTCATTATTTCAAATTTTATAAAGTTTTCCGTCACCTAATAGTATTGAAATATGACTTAATATTAATATTATCGAAGAGTAAAACATTGTCCTGGCTAAAGTTTTCATTGAAACATTTGGAGTCGTTCTTGAGATAATATAGTTTAAGCGTTTCTAAATATCCACAATTTTAAGCTTATTTTCACAAAACATTTTTATTTAGAGTTTCCGAGAAACTTCAAAAGGAATTATTTTACTCACTTATTTTCACAGAAGCAACAATGTTCAAAAATAATAATGACGTGAGAGATATTAAAAAAACATTGCTGTAATATTAGAACACAAAAGGATACGTCAAATGGCCTATATGTCATGTCTGTCATACGGTGAATTTAGAACTCTTTGGACAAAAAGTTTAAAGAAATATAATGAAGCCATTTTTTAGATAGTTTTTCTCAAAATTCCCTCTATTTAGCGCACATTTACAAGAAAACAACTCATATTTTGTAAATATTGCAAATTATTTTATTTAAACATATAATTTCGAATAACATATTTAATTTAGAAGAAATATCTTTATCCTCAATATTGTAGTTATACGATGACTCCGAAAAAAACATTATATTTTTGAAATTGTAGAGAAATGAACAAAAATGATTTGCCCCTTTCTTATAAGCATAATTTCTTCTATCTGATAAAAAATGTACATAAAAGAGCCATTTAAAAAAAATGTTTAAAACGTTGTTGGGACTTCATTTAAGGTACCACGAAAAATCAATTTTCAATTTCGAGGGACAGTGTTACAAGCGATATCGATCGGGATATATTAATTTTGGTGAAAATACTTGCGGTTTAGGCACAAGGCCTGCCTTAAATATAACTTCTGTATTAAAGACTCGCAAAAGGAGGATTTTGACTTCACAACGTATTAAAGTAATTTATTACATACAGAGAAATGAATTATTCTCCTTTTCGTAATAGAGAATCTACATTAAGATTTTTTTCATCCAAAAAATTGTAGCTTTCTGCTGTAGTCTTGCATAACTTTGTTTATACTACGTATGTATTATGCCAGATAGTAAAAGACATATGCTTGATTGAATGTTTTTGATTTTCAGCAAAATGCAACATTGGAGTACGCCGCCTTCGAAAAAGAGCAATGGCAAAACTACTTCAGCAGAGTAAATTACACAGAGTTCGAAGATGAGGTTCTTATACGGCAGCTTGATTCTTTAAGCGTATTGGGCATTCCGGCCCTGGGATTGACTGACCTTGAAGAGGTACGTTAGTGTAATCATTTTTCATTAAATCTTTTGACACCTCACGAATAAGTTCATAACGCGTTACTACTAAATTGTTTTGGAGAACCAAATATCTCACCCCCTTGCCAGTATTTGAAACGATTTCTAACGTGAATAATAAAAATTCTACTTATTTTGTTAATGATTTACAAAATTTATTTTTGTAAATACACATGCGACAATTACTCGAAATCCGGAAGGAATTTGAATGTTTGTAGACAAATAGAGACAATAATAATGTGAATTAAGTTGTACACATTTCACATTCAAAACTTTTACTTATTAACTTATCCACCCAAGCCAACAAAATATATTGCGATCTATGTTCATAAGTATCACAAAATAACAATGAAAATGAATTTTATCACTTCCGTTAATTGGAAAAACAACCTTGACTATTGTATTTGTATGATGACTATTGTGGCATTCAAAAAAAATAATTTGTATTGCAGCTTAGTACCAGTACAACGAATATGACTAGCACGTATTCCACTGCGAAGATCTGCCCATATAAGAAACAAGCTTGTGCGCTGAATGAAATGCTAAGCCTTGATCCAGGTAAGGTGAGAACAAAATTCATACTTGCGTGTCGGATGAAGTTAAGTTCCAAAATGTTACATCGTTTAGACTACTTCTAAAGATAATATGGCTTATACTGACCTTGCTGAATTATATATTCCCTTCAATTAAACACTACCGTAAAGTGGTATAGCTGATGTAAAAAATTGTTGGAGTACTTGTACATTATATCTTTATAATCTGAATTCCTGTGTAATGCCGCCACAGTCCTGACATTCAAAGAATGGGCTCTCCCAGTACAGTTCGTACACAAAAAATTGTTTTCAATGTAGAACGTCAGCATTCAACAATGTTGAAATGTCAACAATGTTTTTCGCATTCCACGAAAAATTTAAAAGATACAAAATACATTTTAACGGTAGATAAACGTTTCAGCAGATGATTGTTTTCTAAATTACGTTTTAATTGCTTTTCTAAGGAACAATTGTTAAGTTTCCAAATTACAAGTATACTTTTATCTACTATTTTGTTAAAACTTTGAACTGTTCGATAAAATTGCAATATTTATACATTGTGTACTTTTACATTGTGTTAACAAAGAAAAGTGCAGTGAAAAATGTATATCACGTTATTATAATATGAAAATACAAATTTAAATAAGAGAACTTTATTCATTTTCACCGAACAATAATTGAATTATCGTATAACGTTAGTAAATACCTTGTAATGTTGACAGGCATGGAGGAAATCATATCCAAATCGAGAGACTATGATGAGCTTACGTACGTTTGGAAAGCTTGGCGTGATGCATCAGGGAAGTTGATGCGAGAAAACTACAAGAAATACGTGCAATTGAACAACAAAGCAGCAAAGATGAATGGTAAGGCGTTCTATTTTCAAATACTTTGAGAAAGTATTTGATCTAAAAATTAGACGCTTTTTTTCCAGAAAAGTTTCTCACACAAAATAAATTTATATTTATTTTCTTACTGGAGCCTCATGTTAAGATGAACGTAAGAAGTATACTACTTCTCCTAAAGTGTAGCGAATTTGTATTAATTCTACATTTACACGACAAATGGATTTGATACTTCTCATTTACAGGGAGTTCGTCTGATATTTTTACATTTATACGATCACCAAATAATTGCTGATGAAAATGTGGCAGGGTTCGAGGACATGGGAGAAATGTGGCGCCACGACTACGACTCGGAGACGCTGAAGGAGGAGATGCTGGACCTGTGGGAGACAATCGAGCCGCTGTACGTGCAGCTGCACAAGTACGTGCGCACCAAGCTCGAGCAGCACTACGGGGAGAAGCTGGCCGCGTCGGACGGGCTGCTGCCCGCGCACGTGCTTGGTGAGATTCCTTGGCGCCATGCGCTGTAAAGGGGATTCTAGATCTATCTGAATGTATTAAAGGGTTAGAATAAAGGGAGTGATCTAAAGTGGCCAGACAATATGAAATAAAAAATGACGATTTGGAAATGTAGTGGAATCATACATAAACGCGTAATCATTTATTCATAATCGTCGACATTTTTTTCTGTTTGAATAAAATGATTGTGCCAAGAGTAACTTCCGAGAATTTCCCGAGAAAATGGTGAATTGTGACTTTTTTACATGACTGTAAAATTTTATAGAGAAAACTAAAATCAGAATTATGAACTGGTATACTAGTAAATCTTTAGAGCTAATAAACTTGAAATTAGAACTGTAATAAATTTAGCTCCCGTTCTCTAAATAAGTTTTTTACCCCTCATTTGTATCCAATTCGAATTTAAGGATCTGATCAATAAGAAAACAACCCAAAAGCAATTACCCAAACGTCCAAGTGTATTACGTTTGAATAATGAATACCGAAGACTGTCAGCACCCATTTTGATCCCCTTCTATTAAAACAGATCGCCTGAGAATTGTGCATGTAAAGATTCAAGTAAACATTCGTTTAATGAATTTATTTTTAATTATTTTTTTTGTTAAATGGGAAATTTTCTTTCAGGAAACATGTGGGCCCAGAGCTGGGGAAACATATTCGACCTTGTAAAACCATTTCCAGAAGGAAGTGCTGTGAACGTTACTCAAAGCCTTATTGACCAGGTAAGATCGGTTGGCACAGTCTCTTTCTGTGTTCAAGTATAATTATGAATACCAACCGCCACTCTCAAGACCCTGAATAATAATTATCTTGCAGGGATATGACGCTTTGCGGATGTTTAAGACTTCTGATGATTTCTACATTTCCTTGGGATTGGCAAACAATTCTGTGTCGTATGGGAAGGACGCAATGCTGGTGAGGCCAACCGACAGGGAAGTGGTGTGCCATGCGTCTGCGTGGGACTTTTGCAACGGAAAAGACTACAGGTAGACCACATTTTATATTGACGAAATACTATACTTTCTATTCAATTTATCTATAACAAAGTTTTGAGAGTGAATCACTGCAATATATTCAAAAAATAATGAAAGTTTTCTTGAACCAGAATAAAAATGTGCACGAAGATTAATATGGAAGATTTTGTTACTATTCATCACGAAATGGGACACATTCAATACTTTATTCAGTACAAGGATCAGCCCTATGTATTCAGAAAAGGAGCTAATCCAGGTAAGGATGTTGACCACTCGTTGTGAAGAGTTTGCCATACGCAAAATAATGTCATGCCCTTTCATAATGCTCTCTTGCAGGATTCCATGAAGCAATTGGTGATACTATTGCTTTGTCGGTTTCCACTCCCAAACACTTAAAGGAAGTTGGTTTGCTCGGCAAAGATTATCCGGATACAGAAGAAGACAATATTAACGCTCTAATGGCCATGGCTTTGGATAAGGTGAGGTTGCTTCGTGAAGAGGACCGATAGTTAGAATTCAGAATTTTGTAGTTAGGTATTTTAATTAACCTTCGCAGTCCTAATTTATTTTATACTAGGAGTTGTGCCAGAGTTGGGTAAATATTGCCCACTATGCAAAATATTACAATATCATTACTAGTTTAACAAATTACATTTTAATAAAATTACACTGCATTTATAATATGCTTATAGTGGTTTGAAATTCAGTTAAAAAGTAATAATGTTATATACTTAAAAATGTTATTTTATTTCTTACTCCTCTGACATAATTTTTATTCCACTATCTCACTATTGCTTTGTGAAAGCGATACGCATCATACGAAGTAACTCAACAAATTTTATAATACAGAACATTACAGTCACTAATATAACTACTTCAGCTCATGCTCGTGTTCCGACGTAATGGATGATTGCGTGCACTTATTTTCATGCCCATAAATAACACCCCAAATCATTAAACTTTACTGTTCATGCCCCCAAATCAGAAATCTTTACTTGAATGACTTTGGGTTGTTCAACGAGATGATAAACTCTTAGAAGATTTACGACAAAGGAAATAGAAAAGTCTTACCTCATTGTTATGGTGGCACGGATTATATCAAGGGTGGGCAAAATCTGTCCACCAGAAATAATTAATTTGTCTATTTATTTCAAAGCTGCAAAATATAGCTGTAGTGATATTTCAACACGTTGGTAACAAACAGCAAAAATATTAAATCATAATTCTTTGTTTTATATACAGAACTATGAAAATAAGACGGGTTAAAATTGCTCACAATTTGTTCTGCTAGGGTTAAGAATAATTGTTGATAGGGATTTCCTAAATCAGGTAACAATCTCTTATTTACATTTTTTATTACACATACAGGTGGCATTCCTGCCTTTTGGACTCCTTATAGACATGTGGCGTTGGGATGTCTTCTCAGGCAATGTGACAAGCGATCAATGGAATGAACACTGGTGGTACCTCAGGTAATTTAAATTAGTTTTAACCGTTGCGCAACCTACATCTGTGGCTATGAACGTTAAGGGAGCCCGTTATGACTTGAGTGAACTTGTGGTTGGGAGGTTGTGGCCAGATGCTGGATCTTTACATGATGTAATTTTCATCAGCGAATATGTGGAGCCTGCCGGAATCTAATTGGCCTACTCATCTGAGCTGTTCAGCATTTTTTTGTGCTTTTCCTGATCAGTTTCCTACTAATACCGGGAGAGGTGGCTCAGGGTGTCAACTGATATCATTGCAGTGCCTCTGACCGGGAGGTTCTAGATTAGAGTCCCTACGGTCGCAGGATTTTCGACACTAACCTGATAGCTGGGTCGAATTCAGTCGCCGTCTGGATGAGAATTCTAGCAGCCGGCTGCTTTGATTGGTAGTTTCCCATGGTTTCTCCGATCAACACCAGGCGAATACCAGAGTAGTACCCTACCAAAGGAGCCATGGAGCGCGCGCGATTTTCCCTTCCCATTCCTATTCTCGCCCTTTATTTACACCTCCACTAACATGCATTACACTATTACACATGCCAGGAGACCTGTCGAGAGCTTGGAGCTTGTCCCGGCTTTTGCGGTGCCCCGATAGTGGGAGATACCTGGTTGTAGAAAACCCACTAGCCGACCGTAGGTCGGCGCATCGAGGCAAGGTTAGTCACCTCGCGAGAGAGAAAACTGCCATACACTTACGGGAATAATGACTGCAGTTGAAGCGCCCGGAATCACTAGTAATCAGTTAATTTATCAGCGACTGCCGGAGCCGCACCTCGTGCCACTGACCGCTCAAAATTATCACTTGCGTATCCTGTCCCCATTCTCCATCCTTAGGAGCGAGCAATAGGCTGATGACCCATTCTTGAATAGCCCTTCCCACACTTATCTCAATGTTGCTTCGGATATAGGTCAAGGCAAATTTATAAGTGTCAAGTCAAAACAAATCGGGAAATTCTGAGAATTAATTGATAAAAGGAAGTTTTCATTCAAACTAATTTCTTCATATTTCGAAGTTCCCTTTTACTAATCTTTAAAAAAACATAAAAAAGAGCCATAAAAATAAAATAAAATAAAATAAAATAAAGCCTTTGGAAAAGTATTAAGTAACTCGTATATGAACATTGTTTTGGGGATAGGGTGACAATCATCTTAACAACAAATATAATTAACCATATATATCAGATTAAATCAATGAGCTATATGTACGTTTCTTAAAGAGAAGTAAAAGAGAACTTCGAAATATGAAGAAATTAGTTTGAATGCAAACTTTCAAAACAATCAATTAATTTTCAGAATATCCCGATTTGTTTCAGTATTAGATAATATAAGATATTTAATTTTATAATGTAATTTAATAATTAAATTATTAATATTTTATAATTCAACATATCTTGCAGAACAGTGATTTGTCATGAATGCTGTTTTAGGAAAACTATTCAACGGATCAAACCTCCAGTACCTCGAAACGAGGAAGACTTCGATCCTGGCGCAAAGTTCCACGTTCCAGGAGATTCTCAATATATTGCGTAAGTAATTTTACAAGTTTTAGGAGCAATTGTATCAATGTAACAATTTTACATGTAATTTCCATTCAATTCTATTCCTTTTTACTGCAGGTACTTCATCGCCCACGTACTACAGTTCCAGTTTCATAAATCACTGTGCGAAGCAGCAGGGCAATATAACCCTAATGACACGAACTCCGAACCACTCCACAAATGTGATATCTTCCGCTCGATAGAAGCCGGAAACCTGCTTAGGTAAAGCAAATACAAAATTGATATAAAATGATCGATAAAATGATAAACTAAATACGCCAAAAATGTTTTACAATTAAGGATGGTCATGTATTAGATAAAACAAAATTGAGAAAAAAAATATTTAAAAATGCACCAATTAAGATGCACAATTAAAAATATCTTATCACAGAAAAGAGGAAACTTCGTTGTGAATAAAAAAAAATTATTAAATTCTAGGAAAGGTCTGCAGCTTGGAGGTTCAACCCATTGGAGAGATGCACTCGAGGCCATTACCGGTCAACGAGAATACTCTGGAGAGCCGTTGTTGGAATACTTCAAACCGCTCTACGACTTTTTGGTTTCGGAAAACACAAAGTCCGAAGGAAAAGATGAAGTGATCGAAGAAAAGCCGATCGAAGACAAGCCGATTGAAGAACAGCCAAAAGGCGACGTCGAAGAAAGCGTAGTGCCAGCCAAGGAAAACGTAGTGCCAGCCAAGGAAAATGAAGTGCCGAGCAACGGCCTGTCGAGCCAGGACAGTGCTGTGAAAGACGTCAAGGGCCCAGAAGAGACCAAGAGTCAGGAACCGACTGATCAAACCGTTCCTATTGTCGTGGGCTGCGTTTTGGGCGCCCTGCTAGTCTGCATACTCATCGGATACGTAATATTCCGCCGGCGGGCAGCGAAACGAAGCGCGGACATCCCTTCCACGACTGGCTCCAAGGCGTTGCCTTAGGCGCAGCCTCATCATTCGTTTATTAAATCTACATTAATTTAATATGTCGGGTCTTCCATTGCCTTTATCACTATCGAGTAAATGCTCGCAAATGTAGAATTTGGAATAAATTAAGATATGTCGAATAAGCGAGAATGCCATGCAGCAAAATGAAACGTAAAAGGCGAAAAATTGTTGACATTTTTATAAAAGTTGAGATGTTTTTGAAATTTAAATTTTCCAAATCAGATACAGTAAATTTGTGTTCAACGCGCATACAATGGAGGCAACTCTTTTGCTGGTATGAGATTTAAAAAGTGAATTAAGTTATTAAGTAGCTATTGTTGGTGGTTTATTGCAAGGGGAAAGTCAAACACGTTATTTCAAGAGGACCTTTTTAGAAGAAAGATACACGAATTTATTCTTATTCAAATATTTATTCTTTAAGTGTGTTTTAGAAATTTATTCATTCAGACTCCGCATTTGCATTCTAATATATTTTTGTTTTTATAGTGTGATTTTTTTTCTTATCAAAACATTCGATAAATAGAAACATTTTATCGGCTGTAAAGATAACCTATAGAAACTTTGTGGTTAAAATCTCTGAAGTTGACAAATGATTTCGGAACCGTGTAAATAATTTTGGCTATAATAACTTCAACCTTATTGTCAGGAAACTGTAGATTCCATTTAATTCTTTGAAGGTTTGGCTACAAAATAAGGATACCACCACGCATTTTTCGAAATGCATAGTTATCAAAACCGAGAAATAATATTCACTTTACTAGCAGCACCTAAAATGCTAGCCAAGATGTAATATTTGTAAATGTGTCTTTCTTTGCAGTTATTATCGTCAACATTAACTACACACATTATATTTTCCAACTTTTTGATTAAACTACATTCGTATGCGTGTATTATATTTTTAGACTAGTTATTAGTGGAAATGTGGTTGAAAAGCAAAAGATTGCAACCTTGTAATTTTTTTCTAAGTAAAATATGCGAAATTATTTTACATAGAATACAATTTGATTGAAGACTGTTACAACAGCAAACCTCCACAGATATGATTGCTTTTAGAGCTCTAAACGTACGCAACGTTAATATACATATTTAGATTTAGACGAAAATAAAGCTCATCATTCTATTCTTTGACCAGGAAAATTTAGACTATAATTCACCATTTTTTATATCAATAGACATAATACCTAGTATTTAAGGAATGTTAATATACTTGTATACAAAAAGCTACATATTTTTGTAAGCTTCCAATCACGTCATCTTCATATCCATGTATATAATTCATTTCACTCCATAAAAGTGTTTATTACAAAAATGTGTTTGATTTAGGTTACCTAGAAACTATCCAAATCCAAAGCAAAAAATAAAGAAAAACCCTAAATATTTTTCGTTTGGAGCTGAGAGAATTGTTACGAGCGAAGATTCGTCTGATAACGCCGGTGAAGTCGCGCGGTCTTTCACATCGTAAGGCTCACTGATGTAACCAGGAGGAAGAAGTAAGAGCAGGACGGAAGCCTCTGCGAAGGAACGACGGCTTTCGCCCCGTTGCTCGCGTCGCTTCCGCCTTGCAGCAGATGACGCTCTCGACAGAGCCATTGCCTTCTTTCCAACAACTGTTAAGGGTGTAAAACTCGTAGAGCTGCTCATATCCGGGATTCAACGTTATTGGCAGTTGCCTCAAAAAAATGATTCATGAAATGAACGAAGATATTTTATAGAAAAAACTTCAAAGAGTGTGACTTTTATATTTTAAAGGTTTTTTTTTGCTATAGTACAGTAATATAATTTTAGAGCGTGTCTGAAATTTAACGGTTTATTAATTCAAATACAGACTTATGAATTCACTTCTTATAATAACCGCTTATTAACGATGGAGCATTCTGTTGAATTGAAAGAATAAATTGAATGTTTAAATCGTGATCCCTTCCTTGCAGCAACAAATCTTTTTCTCAAACCAAAAATATAGAAAAGGTGACGTGTGTGATGAGTAAAATAATCGCTTACTATCTTGGCCAGCTGCTTCAAGCGGTGGTTATATTAATTTTGACAAAGTTATTAGTGTGACCCAAGTTCGATTTAACAAAAAAATTTAAAACAATTAAATTTAATGATACATCTGTTCTCACAGTGTCTCATGAAAAAGTATGGACAGAAATACATTTTTTAAAAATCGTATTTTATTACATTGATCAGTTAAACTATGGTTTATATATTGAATTATTTCTTAAGAAACAATATTTATCCAGATGGGCAATATAGTAATTCACAATATTTTAGCATTGTAGATGACTGTGACCCCCCCAAACAAATTCTATAAGTCTCTATAAGTCTTCCAGAAGATTATTTTGAAGTTTATTTCCGGAAAGAACCGGCTAGAAATAAAGCTGATCGATTTGTGTTGACAGGCAATTGAATATGATCATATTAGTTCGTGATTCTCTCTAAAAAACTCTCTCAACTCTTTTTAGATATATAATACCTCTCAATATGTTTTCCCGATAATTTATAAGAAAATTAGTTTTAATTATTGTGATTCTAATGAATCATGTTGTGATTTATATGTAAATGTTAAAAATATAATCTATTAATTCAACGCGTTTTCCCAATATCGTAGATGTATTGAAACCATTAAAAACATACATTTTTACGGACGGAAGAAACCAAACACGCACGTTTCTTTAAAAACTATTTAAGGATTGACAGCAGTAAGGTCTCTACAAATTCTGACAATTTGCATAAGTGACGAAACTCTGGTACACCTAATATTTCTGTAATCGGCCATTACTATTCTTATTTTTGTCTATTGAATAATCTTAATCAGTTTTAGAAATTTATCATGAGTAATTAACACCATACATTGGTTTCAAATTTACGTGAATTAAAACAAGTTTGTTCAAATTTACGTGAATTATGATGAAATCATTTTAACACTATTTTGATTTCACATTGCTTGACGCAGATATGTTCCGTTTGTATGTGGTGGTTTCATTTTCGCGGTCACTTTTGACGCATTCAGATTTAGGCTCCGTAATAATTTAGCATCCGGTTACGATTCTGACATGTACCTTACATTAGATTATGTATGGTGTTTAAGTTAACATAAAATATATTTATCACACAAGCACAGAGTACACAAGTGACGCTATAAACATTTTGATTAATTAGTTTTAATAAATTAAAACTCACAATTTACAAAATACTTCTTCTAATCAAGGTTTAGATAATGTTAGTTTGTCATTTTTCTTCTCTGCCTTGAGTTTCTCCTTCCATTCTGTCAGTTCAGTAATTCGAATCTGAAGTACTTATTGTATTGGAATTTTGATAAAAACTCCATATTTATGAACAAATAAGGGAGAGTATACCCTTAAAATAAATGATCTCAGTTGACTATCAGAGAAAGAGAGAGATATTACTTTTATTGATAGTTAGGATATTTAAGACAACAATTCATGTCACTTGATCTTCATCATCATCATCATCATCATCATCATCATCATCGACAGCAAGGATTAGACCTCTTGGTCTGTTCCGTCTCAGAATTGTTCATGCCGTCTCTTCAAGGGACTTCCTACACTTCTTTTTCCTTTAGGTACATATTGAAGAATAGTTTTACTTATTCTATGTACTGGCATTCTCAGGACATGACCTTTCCAGTTTTCTCAATATTTCTTTATGGTATCTATAACCGGCTCAACATTTAGTTCTTCTCTGATATCTACACTTTTTTTGTGAATATCCTGCCACAAAACGAAGAAATCTCATTTCTGCAGATTCAATTCGGCGCAACTGATCTGATGTTAATGTCCAGCTCTCACTTCCATAAAGTAGTAATGGCAAAGCAATAACTTTGTAAAATCTGAGAAGAGTTTCCTTTTGCGCATTATGATATAGAGTTCGCTGTAACGTTCCACAGAAATATGTGAAGTTGTTCAGCTTTATTTCCATATACCTTGATTTTATATAATTAAAATGATATCCAAGATATTTAAATTCATTAACGTGTTCAATTATTTGGTCATATATAACTATCTTTGTTCTTAAAGGTTCAAGTCCTTTAAATGCCATCACTTTTGTTTTACTTGGTGAGATTTTCACACCATACTCATTGGCAACCTGACTTAACTTGTGGACTGCTATTTGTATTTCATATTCAGATTGTCCTATGATATGTCCTATATGTCACTTGATCAATTCGTAAATTACCTCTATTCTCGCGTCTCCCCGTAATCGATTTGTTGAGATATATTCCGTCCGCGGGAAGCGTTCGTGTCGCTGAAGGCAATGGTTCAGATGGTAGCGGACAGATGGCGCTACTATGAAACTCGTTTTCATTTAGTTTCAACCAACTTAGAGCACTGCTAATAATATTCTACTAATATTCTAAATCGTTGTATCATATATTCTGAGGGCGTTGCTATCTATTCCATGCGTGTAATATTTGCTAACTAGAAAAATGCTTGTGTTTCAGCATTTCAACTAGGCATTTATTAATGCCGGTCATATTAATTTTGAAATAATGTATGAAAATAGTATTTAAAAATGTGCCTCATAGTCTATGGAGAATATTGCACGTACTATTTCGTTTTATTTTCATGTACTAGTTTTGAGTGCAATACACATAGCGTAGGCAACCGGCATCAAACCGCAAACTACCAACAAGACTTTAGATGCCGCAAGCAGTCACTAACAGGGGGCGATGATAAAGGCGCGAACTTTGAACTACGTTGTCCAAGTGGTTAACAGCACACACTTTCTTGTATTATTTGTGATATATTTAATTATTTGTGATATATATAATTTTCAAAAATTCAAAGAGTTCAACAAAATTCAGGCCATTCCAAAAAACTGTGCGTTAAAAATTATATTTTTACTTCAAAAGTCTTTTTACGTTTCGAAGACAGTTTTAATTTTTTTGAATATTTTTTTTTGAATTTCAGAATTGTAAAGAATCTTTTCTTTTGTAAGAAATCGTTCAATAAGCGCATTTTACGGCAAAAATAATGACGTACTAGCATTTTACGGCACGAATGTGTCATCTCACATTCAGCCACTCGCAGAAAGAGAATCGCGTGGGGGTAGCGGTGAACGGAACAGCCGGCCAACGTTTTCTCGCGCAGATGTCAAATACCCCAGGCGTCATTAGAAAGTTGTTTCGCAAAATTAAGTTCCCATGGTGCGACTTCCGTTCACACGTTTATATTAATATCGTTTCAGTCCTGATATTCCCATTGGAAAGAGATGGTTGGCTCCTCCTGTGCACCAATTTTTGATCGTTCTGCGCAGTATCAGTTTGCGACAGGAACCACGCATCCACGGCACGGGCACTTGGTTTGGAAAGCGAGACCAGACGATGGCCTTAGCGATTGCACGGAGAGCGAAAAGTGTTGATAAACATTTTTAAGGTGGGATAACATGTCAATTTTCAAGGGTGACCAATGAAAAGAACAGAATGAAGGTGTAATTGAAATAAAAGATGCAATATTTTAAAAACAAAGTGCTTATCTGTTTCTGTTTCAATGACTTGTAACTGTGATATTTCTGGCATTTAAAATTCTCGCTAATATTATGACGTCTGAAGCCCAAATACTGCATGGCGTCCATTGGATGAAGTCGGATACTCAAGAACTTTTCCATCTCTTTCCTTCGTGGTTCTTGAGTTTAGTGCATAATCGATGTAACAGAAGATTTCGACTTCATATGAAAAACCTGTTTCTCGTTGTGTCTCTGCAACAGATTGCTCTAAAAGGCTAATTTTTTGGAATTCAATGGCGTTTGTTTTTCTCTTTTATATGAGTAACACGATTATCGATAAGCTTGAGGGAAGTTTTCACCCCCTTATTCGACTATTCTTCTTTAAAAACGTGCTCCTAATGTTGTTTATTTTCAAAACATGTACTCAAGCAATAAAGATTAACATTATAAACTAATTGCATACACTACTATTGTTGTTTATGCACTCACGCAAAATTGAAAACATTAAATTATTAAAATATAACTATTATTTTAGATAATATGTAGGTCTACCACGTGCGTTTTTATTTTTTCAATATCATGTCTCGCATCCAAGTTTTTCAAATGTATCCCAGACGGATAACTTTATTTTTACTACATTATGTAATTCACTTTAGTAGACCATGACGAATTCTGAGTTCCAAGTTTGAGATAGTTGTCTCAAGTGCAATCCTTGCACAGATGCAATATTTGCACAGAACTAAGTTATTCATGCAGATTGACCTATTTCTTCTTGTTCTTTCGTCAATACATATAATTGAACGTTTATTTCCTTGATAAGCATAATATATACATAAAATATGTTATTTGTGAATGATTTTTTAAAGAATT